GCAGGAAACATCACCATTTTTGGCTGTGGTTTTTGGGCCTCAAACACTAGTAACACAGACATTTCCACGCTGTCAGGTGACAGGGTGCTGTATTTTGCCTTAAAGCTGCTGTTGACCTGCTTAACACTGACCTGTGTTTGTTTTGTTTTCCAGAAATGTGTCTACTGTCGGAAACGGATGAAGAAAGTGTCTGGTGCCTGCATCCAGTGCTCCTACGAGCACTGCTCCACCTCCTTCCACGTGACCTGCGCCCACGCGGCCGGCGTGCCCATGGAGCCGGATGACTGGCCCTATGTTGTGTCCATTACCTGCTTCAAACACAAAGCAGCCAACCAGAATGTACGTAGCTTTGGTTTGGCTTTTTGGTTTGTATTAGTTTGGTTTGTTTGGTTTGGGATTTTTTTGTTGGAACAGTTCCTCTGTGCCTCTATTTTTGACTGGGCTTTTGTGATTGCAATTTGCAAGTGATTCCCCTTTCTCTGTAACACAGATTCAATTTCGAAAGGAAGTGACCCTCGGGCAGACTGTGATCACAAAGAACCGGAATGGACTCTACTACAGATGCAAAGTGATTGGCATGACCACACAGACTTTCTATGAAGTCAACTTTGATGATGGTTCATACAGTGACAACGTTTACCCAGAAAGCATTATTGTAAGCAGCTCTCTTTGGAGACTATTACCATTAGAGATGAGTACAAGGTGTAATAAACACCGTCCTCTTCTGTGTGCTTTGGGGTGGAACAACAAAGTAAAACTTAAAAAAAAATTTAAAAAGTAAAGTTGTTACTTGCATAGAAAAACTCCTACTGCTCTTCATTACTGTTCTTGTTGATGACATCTCATTATTTTTTTTGTTGTTACTTTACAAAGATGTGATTTTGCTACATGCAGATGACTCAACAGAAAGCAGTGTTTAAGTTGCATCCTATTTGTTTTGCACTTGAATAATATCTTATTTTTCAACTGACAAGTGTGATTCATGGGGGAAGCAGAACGTAAGCACTTCTGGCTCAAAAGAGGGAATTCACTTAATAGAGGGAATGTCTGGAAGAGCCTGACGGCTCCTGTGTTCCCTTCCTGATTGTGCCATTGATTCACCATGTGAAACAGAGCAGGTCACCCTGCTTGATTTTACTGATACAGGAGATGTGATGGTCTGGGAATTGTAATGACAAATTTGCTAGACCTGAGGACTGTCCCCTGCAGGAGGTGCAAGTGTTTCCTTCTGATCTCTCACTGATGAATGGTTTTGTTTGAGATGACTGCGGATAATCACAAGTGCAGCAACTCTCTTATAGTGTTACATAGCAGCTTCCTTGAGCAGTGATTTGCTGAGCTTTGTTGGTGTTGGCTGCCTGACCTCTTTCGTTTCCCTCTGTGTCTTCAGAGCAGAGACTGCATCCAGCTGGGACCCCCTCCGGAGGGAGAGTTGGTTCAGCTGCAGTGGACGGATGGAATTGTCTATAAGGCCAAGTTTATTGCAGCCCAGATCAGTCAGATTTACCAGGTGAGTGTGGAGCAGTACCCACATACTTCATGGCTACACGTCTGATTGCTGTTCCTGTTGTATAGTGTGCTAATTCTGAATGCTTGCTCTGGTCACAGAGGGAGAATTTGCTCTCTGAAATTGGTACTGCTGGTAGTCTAAAGAGAAATATAGTGTTAAAATAAGGTAAAGGTTTTCTGTGGCAGAATGCAGATTTGTGGCTGGAAAAATGTTTAGACTGCATCTGCTTTTAAAATATGAAATAAATTTGCCCGTTTCCTTACAGCTCAGAAGTGACTCAGGTCCTACTTGAACTGCTCTGATGGCTCTCCTCCGGCTGGAGCTGAGCTCGTGGTTTGTAGTTCCCCATGAGTCCGTGTCTACATAATTACAACTTTCCTTGGCACTTTCAGAGAAAATAAGGGAAGCAGTGGGTCAGGCAGGGGGGGATAATCCTGCGGTCATGGGAAGGTACTTTGTGGAGCAGCAGCGTGTGGGAGTAACGTCCTGCTGCCGCTGTGCGAGGAATTGGAAACCTTCAGTCTCGAGGCTTATACGCTCTCACCATCTCTCTTTTTAAGGTGAGGAAAACAGCAGCCAAGGGGTTTTTTTTGTCTTTAAGTCTGTTCCACATATGGGATTTTTGTTTGTGGAAGGTTGTAATAGTCAAGGAAGATTTAATCTGATACACAGGGTTAGTGTTTCAGCACAGAAGGTTTTATAAAATGCAGTATGTTCGTTTGATTAAATATTTCTTAAATGCTACCAAGAAGTTGAAAATTACAGTGATTTGGAAAGTATGCTTTGTATGCATCCATTTGAAAAATATATGCTGAAATTTGCAAATAATTGTTATTTTCAAGAGGCTAATGCCCCTGGACAAGAGACAAAGGAAGTCCCATATCTTGTATTTGTTTGAAATGGGGTTCTGGTTTCTGTCCTTTCTGCACAGAGTGTTTCACGTCTGTGTGCGAAGAGCACAGTAACCCACCTTGTCAGTTAGGAGTCCTTTTGGTGTGTATAATGGACATTAACAGCTTCAGAGAAGATGTGATCTGAGGTGACCCTGGTTATGAATAACTACAATATATAATTCCATAAAGATCTATTGTTGTGTGTGCTTTCCAGTTTAATCACAGTATAGGAAATTGTCATTGATTTCTCTAAGGTAAAATAATTTGACATCGGTTATTCCACTGATAGTGCCAGCTGACAGAACAATATGCATGAGGAGTCTGTGTTTTTCAAATCATGCAGTTACCTCTAAGTAAAGCTCCTCCATGGGGAAAATAGCCTTGAATAGCTTTCCACATTGGTTCCTTATGTCGATACTTTTTCAGTACTTATGGTGCATCTCTTTTATCTGGTTTGGAATAGGATTATATTTAAAAGCACAGAAACAGTTTTGTTATAAAATAAGTGTGTTCACAGGCAGACAGCATGGATTAGCTTTTGCATTTTAAACTTGCCTTATTTTGCAGTAGCTTCCCAGTTCAAGTCTGTATTTTATGTACTACGATGTGTATATTTTTTTTTAAATGAGCCTAAATAACTGTCTTGTAACTTGCTGTGATGTGTGTTTGTAACCGTATCGGTAATTTGGAACTTCAGTAACCGAGGTCCAACCACTCTGTGATAGTGGCAATGGCAGACAGCGATCTGCTTGTGCCTGGGCTGTTAACCCTCCTAATTCGTGTTCCCTTCTGGCTCTGTTATGGTCGTGGTGCTCTGTAAAACCAGAGATTAAATGGGACCAGCAGCATCTTGAACCACCTCGGCAGAGCTCAGCACTCGGACCCTGTTCTCCCTCCTGTGCAGTTATTCCCGCTGATGCGTGCAGAGCGGATGAGCTGCAAGACCTGAGGAGTTCAGAGTGCAGCTGCTTTCTTCCTTCTGAATTTGTCCAGTCTGAACCTGACATCCCATGTTATGGTGTATGTCCTTCTGCATTATCCAGAAAAAGCAATAATAAGCCTTGAGCAAAGGAAATAAGAATCTCTTTAAAAACTTTTAATAGTTTTAACATTTTTATATGCATGTTTCCGTGAATAAACGTTCCTGTAACATCTCATGCATAATTCATGATATAATCAGTGCTTAGCAGAAAAGGCTTGATGTGAGGAGTTACCACCGATCTTTGTACCTGGCTGCCTACTTCTGCTTGTTAAAATACAATTGTATTTTAGTAGCTGGAGTTGTTTCCTTATGACGTGTGAAAATGCTTTGTTTAAGATGAAAGAAATTCTTATTACCATATTGCCTGAATACAGAGCTGCCTTTTATTGTAAATGAAAAGCTTCTCTTTTTCAGGATTTGAATAAAAAAATCAGTGGAAATCTCAAGTGCTCTGATTGGGAGTGGGGAGCAGAGGTGCTGGTGTAGATATTTTAGGATCCACAGGAGCACTGAATGAAACCATTTGGGCTGGATAAGACACGGGTGCCCGAGCAGCACTGAAACCAGCACTTTTGGGGTTCAGCATCCTTAACACAGCTTAGGTGTGCTCATTCTACAGCAATCCTAGAGATATGTAGTGCCAAAAATGGAGAGTCTGCCATGGGAGCTGGCCCCTCGTGCTTCCTTGGTGTTCCCACAAAGAGGGGACCCTACACGGCATACTTTGGGAATGGACTGTTCAGGTACTAAAAATGTAAGGGCCAAGTTCTTATGTTCATCTTCTGCCTTCTCTGCAGGTCGAGTTTGAGGATGGTTCTCAACTAATGGTTAAGCGCGGTGATATTTATACCTTGGAGGAAGAGCTTCCCAAGAGAGTCAAGTCTCGCCTGGTGGGTATCAAAGTAACAGCAACAGCAGAGTGACTGTAGCTTGCCATCTTTTAGCGTGTTGCTTAGACATTAGGTGAATGAAGCCTCCAGTTTCTGTGGCTGTAAAACCACTTGTCATTCACAAAATACACAGAAGAAATCCTTGATGCAAATGCTTGAGAAGCATTTAAGTGGTTTTCCCTTGCACGTGTACAGATCTGATTTTTGTTTTCTGTGCTTAAGAGATTATGTCCATATCATTTCATACTGCATGAATTTAGTTGTATGGACTGCCATTATGTCTGACTGCTGCCTTTCATCAGAAGTGAGGTAAAGTGGTCTACAGCTACGTTTCTGGAGAACTGATTAGTGGGACCAAACCCCCGTTTCCCTCCAAACAGGTTTAGAACATAGCTCCTACCTATAAGGCTCTTAATCGAAAAGATCAGGCTGTCTTTAACTGCATGCAATGGAATTACTGAGGCTAGAAAAGATGAGGGATTTGTTATTTTTTTTGGTTCTGTACTTGCTGGGTGTTTTCAAATCTGGTGCTTTAACCTTTTAAAGCCATCTCATTTAAAGAAATGATGAGACCGGTTGCTATGCAAATGGAGAATATCCAGTTTTCTTCTTCATTTGAAATGTTTTACATCAGCCACTGCAGGATAGGGATGAATCCACAAAGTTAACCTGTGATGAGGTTGTGGGCTTCTGTCTCTCTTACGAGTCAAAACCCTTCCCCCCAGAATACATGAATTTCTGTGCCAACCCAGTGATTCACTGGCCCTGTGTGTGTGGCCGCTGGCAGCAGTGTGAGATGCATATTGTCAAACACGGCCTGGCGACAGGGGATCCTGTGGAAGAACTGATGCCACCTTGGAGGATTGCTTGCTTATGCATGAAATCTTTGAGAGTTCTACCCAAAAACCACTTGTAAAATGCTTTCTGTCAGGTAGCTCTTGGGTGGCTTCTCCATTGTCTGAGGTTGTTTATCTCAGTAAGACCTCATGGCATGAACTTTAGAGGTTAATAATAATTTACCTTGTTATCCTTGAAAGAATTCTAGTGGCACAGAAGCACCTTAGAATTAATTTCTAAGATGTGCACAATATTCCATTTGAGTTAAGCTTGTCTAATAATAAAGACAAACATATTGGAGCCTGGAAATACAGGATCTGGAAGGAAACCTATTCAGTGCAGTGGAGACCTCAGGCTTTATAGCAGTTCCAGAGAGAGGAATGCAAGCTGGAAAGTGAATAGTAAGTTTTGAGTCTGGTTGAAAGCGAAGGCTTTTCTTGTGTATTTTCTGCTGCCAGAAGGTGACTGTGCTCTGTGGAAGTGATGCTCCCAGAGCCTTAATGCAGAACAAAGGAACAAAGCGCCACGAGACAATTTTCGATCAAGAAATGCATCTCATTTCAGAGCAGGACAAACGGAAGCCGTTGTTTGTACAGTCATCCTCAAATGTGTTCTTTGGGTCTTTTTGTTTTAAAGACATCAGGGAAACCCCAATTTCCTCTGTGCCTTCTACCAGGAGTTAAAACCTGAAGAGGCAGAGGAGGATCGGGGTAAACAGGGACTTGGGGAGGCAGGAGCTGGAGTGAAAGATACTCTACAACAGAAAGGAGGCAACTTGAGTGTTTTTCTTTCCAGCTTGGTTTCAGAAGCCCAGAATATTTAATTTTAGCCATGTTCTTTGCATGTTTGGGAGTTCACTTTTTCTGCAGAAAGACTCTGAACCAAGTTGTTCACTTGCTGACCCCGCTGTCTCGTTACACTCTGCAGGGTTTGCAGCCGTGTGTCTCCCTGCTGTGCCTCTAACGTTGTCCTTTGTGTCTCCTGCAGTCCCTCAGCACTGGGGCCCCTCAGGACGATGTATTTTCGGGAGATGAAGCGAGACCAGCCAAGCGTCCCCGGCTGGGGAATTCAAGAAATCCAGAAGAATACGGACAAAACCCAGAGTACCTGGCTTTTATGGAGAGCCTGTTGCAGGCACAATACCAGCCTGGAACTCCAGGCAACATGTTTTAACCAGGATTAATTAAAAAATATTAACGTTAACCCTTTTCAAGCCTATGGAAAAAATAAACAAGAAATTCTGGAGTTGAAGACCAACCTTGTGCAATAGCCTGCTGTGAATTTCTTTCATCTACTCTTGGTTTGGACTGCAAGAAAATCCTGTCTGGCTGCACGCTACCTCTACTTTGCCAGGCGTTGCTGACCCATAGAGTAGGGAGCTTGAGAACCTTTCAGACAGCGTTTCACACAGAGACTTTGAAGAGTTTGTACTAATAGAGCTTTGGGACTGGGTCCTTTTTTTTTTTTGAGGCTTGGAAAGGGTTAAAATTTAACAAAATGACTTTTTAAAATATGTTTAACTCTTTTGTCTTTAAAGGTGCTATTACATTGACTACTGAAGCAGCCTTTGGGATTGTGTTTTCTGTACATAGACGTCACCTTTGTGAAGTTTTCTATAAATGAGCATTATTAAAAAAAAAGCAAACAAAAATAGGAAGACAAAAATTTCCACAAAACATTTTTTTCTAGAATATGGCTTTAAACCAGAAGAGAAACAAAATCCTCCCTCCTCACCCCAAATGAAATGTGACTAAAACTGCAGCGGGGAGCGAGAGAGCAAGAGCTGATGTCCTGGAAAGTTCTTTTTTTTTCTTTTTGTAAACACTATCTTCTTTGTAAGCTGGGGAAAATGGGGAAAGAAATGTTTCGTAGCTGGGATGTTTCTTACCGTTAGCTCTCCTACAGACGTGCGATGGATGTGTGCGTTTCTGCCATGTCCCCGGAAAGGGACTTCGGGAAGAAGTGGCCAGGTTTTGGTCATTCTTGTCCTCTTTCTTCCCCATCTTTGCCATCACAGTTGCTTTCTAGTTACAGACCAGCATGGCTTTCAGTTGCGATACGCCACTCAGTTTTGGCAAGTGTTCTGTTGCTGCTTGTGTCAGTTCCTTTATGAGCCATCCCCTTGCCCGCTGCAGACCAGAGCACCAAGGGGTTGCTCTGGCTTTCTGGTAGGCACATCTCTGATAGGAACCTTTTCCTTTTCTTTCTCTCCTTGTTTTTATTTTTCTTCCTTTTTATTTTTCTTCCCTTTTTTTTTTTTTTGAGTTGTGCTCCTTACAGTTGTGAGAATCATTCCATGACAGAAACTTGGGAGGTGTTTGTATGTTTTTCTTTTATCTTATTAAAGAAGAAATTCCCCAAATGCCTTTGATTGTTGTGACATCCTTTACTTAAGTAAAGACTGAGCCTTTGAGAAACTCCTGGGGAAGAGGAATGTGAGCTCTGCATTTCATTGGACTCAGTTCACTGAGAATTGAATGAGCATTAAAGGCAAAACCAAATCCTAATGTATTGAGTGGGCAGCTCCCGCTTGAACGCCTGAAAACCCCCTCCGGTCGAAGAGCTGATGTGGAGCAGTGTTTTGTAAAAGCGCCTGATCCCAGACCCCGCTGAAGTCACTGGGAAGTCCTCCAGTCCCTTTGGAGGAGCGGTGTGGACTTGGGGGGAAGGAAGAGGCAGCCCCAGCGCAGAGCTGGGCCGTGGCCGTGGCCTCCCCCGCACGTGGGTGAAGAGGGCAAGGGCGTGTGGTGCCACTCACCCCAAACCTTGGCCGGGCAGGGGCTGCTGTGAGAGAGCAGAGCTGTCCAGAGCGCTGCGCCGCAACCCTTTCCGCTTCATTCCCTGAAATTACTGCACAGAAAGAGACTATTTTATTTATTTTATTTTGTTCTTAAGCCCCTTTGCAAGGTGGTCACTGTTCTGGGGCAGGGTTTTTAAGCAAGGCTATAGCTGGATCTTGAAGGGAATAAGTGGGAAGGATCTGTGGGCCAGCAGATGGTAGATTAGCATCTGAAGAGACTCAGTGGGTATTAAAGGAAAGAGTGGGGATAGGATAAAGCAGGTTTTTAAATTTTTATTTTGGCTTTGGTTCTCCCTCGAGAGAACTGGAGTTTCCTTTGTTTCTCACTGCCTCTGCTACGGGTTATTTTCCTCGCGTGTGTGCGTCTGCACGTGTGCACGCGTGCGTGTTTGTAAGACGTTTGAAACAGGGTGGGTTTTTTTATTTCAGAGTTTTTGACGTTTTCAATAAATGTCTCCAAGAATAAAAACAAAGACTAATAAAAGTTTTCAGAATTGGCAAGGTTCTTAAAAGCCTCGGTTGTTCCTCCTACGTAGCTGTCTCCTGTCGGCTAAAGCATGATTTGGTAGAAAACTTGCTGGTGTAAAAAATGAGATTGTTGCCAGGCCACAAGAGAAATATTTAAAACAATTGAAAGAGAATTTAAACAGCAGAGGATTTTTTTTGGAGGTGGGAGGGAAGGGTGGGAGGGGATGAGTGGTTGTGAGCAATGGGGAATTTCCTCTGCATGTTAAAATCTGACTGAAACAGCGCCGTTCCTGTATTCATCTGTAGTACCTTTGAAAAATACTATTTATATTGTACAAACAAAGTGTGTTTTCTCCCCCCATATTCAGATGAGTTATGTTTAAACATGAACCTGGAACTGTAGAATGCCTTTCCTTGTTGCAGGGGTGCTCCCTTTTTGGTTTATTTTCAAATCCCTCTTTTTGGGTTAGGAATGACTTGTGCAGATTATCTGTAATGACCATGTTGATGGCCTCTGTGCATCAGCCTGTTGAAAAGGAAATAGGAAGTGCACGTTCCTACCCTCCCTTTCCACCCGTGAAATATATTTGTAAATGTCTGATTATGTGCTATAAAAATAATGATTTTTTTCCCCCTCTAGATTAAGGATGTGATGTATTTTTTGCATATTTTTTCTCTGCCTCTAGGTTCATAACGAATTAAAGGCTGTTGAGCACCTCAGAATTACACTTTTTGGGGGGTTGAAGTCTCTTCATTTCTAAATTCAAAGCCTTTTGTACTGCAGGAGAAGGTGGCTCCCAGATCTGGTTGGTAAAACCGAGCCCAGAGAAGCTGAGACTGATGAAGCAGAACCTGCTTGTTTCCTTCCTCTGTTACCCATGCAGGAGAAGAGGTCTGTCGTTGTGCCCCTTCCCAAAATTAAGAACCAAGCTTTTTGTCCAAGGTCCAGGATTCCAGAGATGGTTCTATAATCCTTTATCTTTTAAATAACCAAATTGCTACTTCCTTTGGGGAGTCTGCTTCAGAGCCTTTCTTCCTAGCCCTTGGAGGTGGTGCTGACATTGAACCTCTCAAAATAGCATCTTCCTGAACCTTCCTTTAAACACCTTCATTTCCCATCCTGAGCCCCTATACTTTCCTACAAATTCCTCTCCAATTGTTGTGGTATGAGTCTAATGCTGCAGATTATGTGCAAGAAAAGAAGTCTCTAACTTCCAGTCTTTTGCAGCTTAATGGTTTTTCTGGAGGTAATCTGAGGAATCGAGGTGGGAAGAAGCTGCCGATGCGAAGTCTGCTGGAATTTGCACCACACAAAGCTTACCTTTTGAATTTAAGGTCTGCTCTATTGCTGTAATAAGAACTAATGTAATTTACAGACGTCTCGAGAAGCAGTACATACTTCCAAGTAACTGCCTGGATCAGTGATCAAAAGGGCGGGATCAAACCTTTCCGTCGCTCTGTCACAGCCTCGCAGAGCGGAACAGGCATTTCCACACAAACCCCCTAAGTCGCCCTGGGTTTGCGCTACTCACCGCGATTGCTGCACTAAAATATAGATGATGTAGGGTTATAGGAAATTATGCTGTGCCAGGGAGTCCCCAGGGAGATGATGTGAATATTCCAACTGCTACAGTGGAGAGCTTTGCTTCCTATGCTTTCCTCTGTCGAAGTAGTGTTTGGGGCTGGATGAAAGGCTGTCGATGAGCTCAACTCATTAGCTCTTCTTCTAACCTCTGCATCTTCCTTATCCCTGGAGAAGGTGATTTTGCATGTATCTTTTGAACTAATGCAGCTGAGCTGCATCTCTTACTTAAAGCATGGTTCGGTTTCCTCCTTTTGCTTTTCCATGTTCTCCGTTGGTGCCAGCTCCCTGGTCCAGCTGGTTCATCCTCCTCCAGCCCCGGAGGGCATCTCCATGCCCTGGTACCCACTGTGGTACCTGCTCCTGTCCAACGCTTGCCTCAGGTCCTTAGGACTTGGCCATCAACAGGCCTGGGTTGCCAAGGTAGGGACAGGACACTCACATGTGAACCTTTGTCTTACCAAAGGGCTGCGGTTTCTTCTTGCTGCGTTGCAGAAGCCCGGCTCGCTCGGGCTGGCGAACAGCAGGGCGCCTTCACACAAGCAGCTGTTTTGAAACCTGTAGCGTAGAAGCTGATAAAACTCCCCGAGTCGGTGTCACCAACTGTCACTTGCACAATAAAGTCATTTTGTGATAATTGCTGGCAGTAAGGAGAGGATGGGGACCAATGGGCTGCTTATTCCTGCTCTGTGGCCAGCAGAGACATTTGCCATATGCCTGGAGAGTGGAACCGTGGGTGGAGAGTCATTAACTCCTTGACTGGTGGGAGGAAGATCTTCAGCTTGGTGGGAAGAAATGGAGGAGATAATTCCTTTTTTTAATTTGTGAAGGACAGGATTATTTTGAAAGCCAAAAATAGTGTTGATTAGGGTGAGGCTGTTTGATGGTGGGGCTGAATGGACAGCGCCACCTTCCACAAAGCTTGATGAGATGAGATGTCTGCTGCTCTGTCCTTTGCTGTGTCTTGGTTCTCTCACTTGGGACTTCTTCTGGTAACTGCTATTGAATCAATTCCTCCTGCAAACACGTTACTGCAGCTCTCCAGCGTGCAGATCTATGTGAGCATGTTCACACGTGCTATTTTGTGCCTTTTTAACACGGCCTCTCCTGGCTTCCAGCTCCGCTGCTTGTTCATGGGAGGACATCACGGGCTTTCAGGCACTCACTTGTGGTGCACTTGCTCTTTCCTTTTTTGCCTTACTTTTGTGACTGTTCAATTTAAGGAAAGAGCAGATGATGGAAAAAAACCTTGTCACATGCTGTAGACATCTGTGCTTTGGCCAGTTTTGCAGAACTTGTATTTCTTGAGGTTATTCTGTGGGGATTTTTATCTGTTCCTCTTCCCTCACTGATCATATTAGTTCTTCATCAGTAGTTCTCCTTCAGCTTGAACAAATTGCACCAGTTTAATAAATCTACTCATTAAACAGGTGCAATTCCCTTCTGCGAGAATGCCCTTGCTTTGGTTGGAGTGGTTTACTCGAGGAGTTTTAGCTGAAGGTAATCGGGAGCCATTTTAAACTAAACTTTGCTTTGAATCTGGGCATGCTGTTTTAGTTTAATGGCAATTTGAGTTGAAGCAGTGGGATTTCTCATGAGGGCACTTTGTCTGTGGTGGTGGGCATCATTCGTCAGAGAACGATGGTGATGGATCAGGACGTTGCTCACTTGATTCTCCCTCTGGCTTGAATTCCTTCACAGCGTACG